CCCCCAGTGAGACGGGGAGGTTTGACCAACAAAAGGAGGAGGAAATTGTATCGGAGGTGCACAGTCCGAAGCTCTGCCCCCGCATGCCCCGTGCAGATCTTCATCCCAAGCCCTTCCGAACAAGCGGAACCCTAAACCCTAAACCCTAATGTCCTAAACCCTAATATCCGAAACCCTGAACCCTAAACCCTAAACCCTAAACCCTAGACCCTGAACCCTGAACCCTGAACCCTAAACCCTGACACGAAGCAAGCTGGGCCATGCAGGTCTTTCTGCGGATCTACTTTTCGGTTTTCGATCGGGGAACCGGCAGCGTTGATGAGGCGCACACGAGGGCACTGTGACTGTATCAATCCTGTTCCTAAACCCTACACCCTAAACCCTAAACCCTAAACCCTGAACCCTGAACCCTGAACCCTTAACCCTAAACCCCACAAAAAATGGCTCGGGCATGCTGCGCATGACGCCCTCAGACGATCAGGCTCGGATTGGCTTCGCCCCTTCAAACAGCGGAGCGGACGCAAGGAATCGCCTCAAGGAGTCCGCCATGCAACCACGCAGTATTCTCTTCCCCCTCATATGAAACCCCCTTGTGATCAAACCCCCCAAACCCCCTAGGGGGTTTTAGGTATTAGGATACTAGCCGCAAAGGATTAATCAGCTGTGTAAAGTTTCCCGGCTAGAAGGCTTTCTCACTTTCCTGCACTGATCGTGCAGGGCTTGACATCCAACCAGCCGGTGTTCCACCGTCACCGGACTGCACTTGGAGCGATTCGATGCCATTCGTCATGCTGAGGGGCAGGAGCTCGAATACTAAAGGACTCAGCTGAGACCGTTGTCACGTCCAGTCAGTGTGAGTGCGCGCATGTTGTCCGCCAGGTCCGCACTCCGCTTCCTGAAGCTGTGTAGGCAGGCTCGCGAGATGTCAGGCGCAGCTGGCGAATTGCCAGGACATGCCTGATGTTCAAGTCGCCGCGACGTAAAAAGACCGCGCCCGCTTGCTGGTCGCATGGCAGTTCTATCTACTGGGAAACGGGCTGACCATTGCAACGGGCAAGATTGTTGGATGTTTGGCATTGTTTGGCAGTACGCCTTGGGAGGATTAAGTCGGGACCCGTGTGCCTATGGCGAGGACCCATCCTTCACACCTTCGATCGAAAACATAGCAGCTGCCTAAGCACCGCATATTTCGAGCGCCTTCCGCATCCATGCAGCTGAGCAAGCAATTCGGTGCATGTGCATATTCTCGTCTTCTCTTGCAGATCACGAAGACTGGCCCATCTGAACTCGGGCGCAATGTCGCAGAGCTTTCAAGAGTGGCTTGCCTCCACTATGCATTCCTCTGGCTCTGCATAGTCGCTGTGTGCTGTTTTGGCAGGCTTTGGGCCAACTCAAGGATGATGTGAATGGCCCCCGAGCGGCACAGCTTTTTTGTTTCCGCCAACCTCGGTGCTTTGCTATGCTTTGCCCTGTCACTTTGGACCCAAGCTTCAAAGTGCGGTAAGCGGAGCTGTAAAAGTATAGCATGCTGGTCATCCACTGAGGCAACCTTTCGCAAGACCGCATTGCTGCGATGACGTCAGAGGCTTTCCTAGATACAAGCTGTAAGCATTGTCAATAGTGGGTGCTGCATGGTATCTGGCCCTCACCTTTGCAGATTGTTGCAGGATGTCCCCAACATGGTGACTCCAGTGGCGGAATCTCTCAAAGAGGCTGCGGCAGTGGCGATGTGATGCACGATGAAGCACGTGCTCGACATGGTGCAGTCCGCATGCGTCTGCTTGGGATGCCCGTCGCTGTTGCCAGGTGATACGTTCTGCAACCTTCTTAGCACATGTCAGTTTTTCTTTGGAACTTGTCAAATGCTGGAACATGCTGGCACAGTCTGGCGAAGGAAGAACGCGGGAAGAACGCAGTACACTGAACGACATCAGCCCAGGCCAAGTCGATGCAGGACAGGTTGACTGCAATCTCCGATGCGGCTGCCTCACAGACGGAGGTCAGAATCGCCCTTTTCAGCCTGTAGTGAGCTGTGGTGGATCTTAGGCCGCCTACAGCATTGTGGGCACAGCCGCCGAAGATGCTGAGCGACGGCTGAATGGTACCTCTGCACAGCAGCTTTAAGTTGGCAGCCATCTTCAAGATCTCTAGGGCTTAGGGTTTCGGGCCAAAGTTTAGGGTTTAGGAAAGTTTAGGGTTTTTGGGTTGGGTTCAGGGGCCTTGAAAATGTGCAGACCGGCACGCAGACCGGCACGCAGCGGGATCCTCAAGTTCCCTTGAAGTGAGTGGAATTTAATGACAGCGGCCCCGCCCGAAAGTCCCCAAACGATCGGCCCAGGCATTTCCCACAGCCTGTCCCTGGATGCACACATGCAACTACTACAACACGACAAGGGACCTCAGGGAATATTTTGGGGGGTTTTGGGGGCTACTTAGGCACATAGGGACTCTGTAAGCTCTATTTATATATATATACACATACATACATATATATGTATGTGTATATATATATATATGTATATATATATATATATGTATATGTATATGTATATGTATATGTATATGTATATGTATATGTATATGTATATGTATATGTATATGTATATGTAGGTATATGTATATGTATATGTATATGTATATGTATATGTATATGTATATGTATATGTATATGTATATGTATATGTATATGTATATGTATATGTATATGTATATGTATATGTATATGTATATGTATATGTATAGGGGGTTATATAGGGGAGTGAGTTACAACCGAGAGGAGAGCTCTAAGAGGCAAATTCAGACAAGTCTCGATCACTGCCAGGTGAGCCCGCCGAGGCCGAGGTTGAAGAGGGTGAAGGGCAGGAGCAGCCTGGCTCAACCAGGGGCGGTTAAGTTTAGGGTTTAGGGTTTAGTGTTTAGGGTTTAGGGTTGTTTGGGGTTTAGGGGCTCAACCAGTCGAGCCGCCCACTCGACTCATTCTCGGCTTCAGCTGAAATACCTATGAGGCCGGGATTAGTATTGATAACTTTGTATTGCCCCACAATAAGAACTTAAGTTTAGGGCCTCGAGATCCCAAGCCGTGGAAGAGTGTCACTAGTTGTCGAGGAATTGGGACGAGCATTGGGAGCCTTGGTGGCACGAGTTGCCACGTGCGCGTGACGGACTCCGCTCATTTTTTCGCTCTCCCTCCCATTAGGACCATGGATACCACGACTACCATGACCATGGCTATGGCGACTATGGAGGTTCCGGCAATGGGGTGCTGGGAGTTGCTAGGAGCTGCTGGGAAGTGTGGAGAGTTGTGGAGAGTTGCTGGGAGTTGCTGGGATTGTCGGGGCCGAAGGCTACGATGCAGGCCATGAAGCTCATGGCTATGGTGGCTATGGTGGATATGGCCACATGCCCCATGGCCAGGCTCCCCTCGAGCCGAGCGTGCAAAGCAGCTGAGCTGAACGGAAAACTGAGATAAAATCAGAGACCTCTGAACTAGAAGAGGACGCTGGCATTTCAGATGTGCGGAGAGCGCGGGGATCGCGGTCGCTCAGGTGCCGGCCTGCCGCTAGGCCTGGCATTTCAGGTGGGCCCGAGATTCTGCGAATCCATTTCGAGAGTATTTCGAGCGAGCACTGTGAGCACACAACTGCGGCGACTGTGATGTGTTTGACACACATGGAGCTTTACGAAAATAGGGGACCCCAAGAGGACCTCAATAAGGTACCCCTATTTTCGGACACCCCCATACATAAAACCCTAAACCCTAAACACCAAAACCTAAGCCCTAAACCCTAATATCGTAAACCCACGCCCACCCCCACATGTGTTCGCGCCCTTGAGTTGGTGAGCAGGCTGATATGTGCAGAAGGCTTTCCAGGCGTCATCGACACCAGCATCCTCAGACCCTCCGCATCAACTTCAGAAAATGGGGGGGGGGGGGGTTTCCGAAACTTGGGGTACCCTTTTTTTGGGGTCCCTTTATAGGGGGCTACTATTCTGTTTGGGGTGTAAACGGGGTACCCCACATGAACCAGAGTACTACAGCCGATGTCCCCCGACAGTGTTTTGAAGAACGTAGGGCAGAACGACTCTATTGAAGCACCCCAGGTGGTTTACGAGGTTTTCGTGTGTTCCAAGAGACGAGAGTGAAACCACCAAGCGTGATTTGCAGCGTTTTCGTGCGTTCCACAGCACGAAAACCACCCCAGGTGATTTTTGCGACGTGTGAACCGCGCGATCACCTATCGATAGAAGTATGCGATCTAAAAGGATCTGCAAGGCTTTGGGGACCCGCTCCAGTTTCGTAGCCATGGACGAAACGAAATTACTGGACTTGGGAGATACTGTACTTTCGGTGGTTGTGGGTCGTGTGTATGGCCACATGGCCTGCACACACGTATGGAAATTCCCGCCCCTGATGGAGCGTTGCCCGGGAGCAGTTTGTGATTTCACACAAAGATCTGCTCATATCTGCTCTTTCCTTCCTTGAATAATGTTAACACTCGCCCGTTCACACGCGAGGATGGTGCCTTTTCACTCAAAAATCCTGAAAATTTGCTACTTGCGATTTCGAAGTCCTCCACGCCGATTTAACAAACGAGACACAAGGAACTCCGCTGAAAAACCCGCAACTTGCAAAACCACAAGCTTCCTTAACGTGAACTGATATGATATGGACCCCGTGCTGGGCTGAGTGAAGCATCATCGGAAGAACCGCTGAGGTTGAAGAGCTTCTTCTGAGATTGCTTGAGCCAGAAATTTATGGTGTCACACCGATTTGTTTTGCCGAGCGGCCAACAGATTTCGCACAGAACGTGCCGCCCTCGTCAGATGTAGGTGCGAGTTGCTTCTGCACTGCTGGATTCCAAAGCCGACCTCAGCAAAATGCTGGCGCACCTGCTGAATGGTGGAAAATTCTTCCGGGGGCGTTGCCTGCTCAAATACGCCCACACTGGGCTCAGGCATGATTGTTAAGTCAGATTGTTCAGAGAATCAACATCATGCAGGCGGGGCGGTTCCTGGCTGTACGTGCTCCTGAGCCATACTACCAAGATGCGAGCAGGCCCTTCAGTCGAATCTTGTGTATCCTGAGTCTTGATGAACATGCAGAAAACCTGCTTGTGCTGTAGGAAGACCGACAATTACGAGTTGGCCGTGCTGCTGGTGTCTGCTGCTCCGCTTGCTGACTACTACATGCAGGCCCTTCCATCACTTCCATCACGCGTTCGCGGAAGCCTTTGAGATTGTCTTCAGCTCCTGCACCAGGTCGAAGCAGATGTGCTCCTGAAGCAAGGCTTCATCAAAACTCTGCAAAGCCTCCTGGCGGCATGTTCTTGACGCATTTGTACTTCGAGTGCTGAGAACCGTTGCCGGTTCAGACTCATTGAGTTGAAGAGTTTGACGCGTTGTCGAGGCTACATCACAGCCAAGCAGCAGGAGAACGAGCCTTGGCACATGATCTCCTTGAGCCAGGATGGGTGGCAGCCCTGGTGCAGGGATGATTCTGATGAGACTGTGGTGCTATGTGGGGGTTTACGAAAACAGGGGATCCCTTAATATAGACCCACAAATAGTAGGATTCCCTTATAGGATTCCGTTAGAAATAACAAGGACCCCAATAGGGTACCCCTAATTTCGGAGATCCCCATGTCTGGGTTCTGATGAGGCATCGCCGCAAGATATGGAGATCCGCAAGCCTGGCTACGTTTGCACGAAGCTCAGACAGAGCAGAAGTCCTAGGCAGGATAAGGAGGCCCCCTAAAAGGGAACCCTTCTTACTTCTCTTCTGGCTCTCTTAAACAGGGACCTTATTCAGAGGGTCTATATCCCCAAGGGTCCCAAGGAGCAGCGGCAGCATCCGTGGAAAGCAGCAGCTGCCCTTTCACCGTTGCCCTAGGCGGAGCTCTTGGCCATCTTCCCCGATGTCCGGGCCACAAGGGCTTTCAGAAAGCCGGGCGTTCAAGAGCCCAAAGTCTCAGAAGAGTGCAGAACCGGCATCACGCAGGTGCCGCCAGACTCCCTGCTATGGGCTCGGGATCCCAGCTTCTCACGGCTGCTGTCAGATGCAAGATGCCGAGTCGGCTCTTGGCTGGCTTCCAAGACATGATAGAATGGCCTCTGCCAGGCATTTCGGGTTCGGGTTTAGGGTTTAGGGCTTAGGGTTTAGGGTTTAGGGCCTAGGGTTTAGGGCTTAGGGTTTAGGGTTTAGGGTTTAGGGTGATACGAGCTGTGCAGTGCCCCGTGACCTTCTCAGGATTTCATTGACACCATCAACAACCAGTCAGCTCCTAAGGCGCAGATCGTGGGATGGTGTGATGGCGGGGTTTACCCTAACATAGACCCCAAATAGTAGGATTCCCTGGTAATAAGGACCCAAATAAGGTACCTCCTAATTTCGGAAGCCCCCAATGTCGGGGGTCATCACAGGCATGCGCTATAGCCTCGTCGGCGACAAAGTTCAAGCGGGCGGACGTGCTTCTGCAGTACCACAAAGCAGAGGACTGGTTCCCCAGTTGGGCTCTTCACAGCATTGCGGCAGTTGCAGTGTAGTTGCAGTTTGAGGCTCTCATTGAGCACGTTGGCGACGTGTCATCGCTCGAAGGGAAGGTCCAAAGAATTCATGATGAGCCTCGGCTTGACTTGGCCTGCGCTCCCCAGTGATTCTTAGGAGACATGTTGTATATTCCTGGGAGTGACAGGACTATTTCAAGAAGCACAACTTGATAAGCTCGCTCTTCGACAACCCTGTCGCGGACCGTGTTTGTCATCTTCCTCTGCATACCCCCCAAGTATCAGCCAGCATCCTGAGCCAAGCGCCAGAACCCCCAAGCTTGCTGACCCGGCACAGGACATCTACACTGCGGACATGGTAAGTGCATCTTCGCAGCTGCAGGCCATGGGTGTACAGGACAATGGGTTCGGTGGGTTCGGTGCGCTGCCGCCCCCCCCCACAGCTCACTCTCCACAGGCGGTCTATGGCAGCAGCGGGATTGCCAGTGGCCAGGGATATACGAAGGCGCGCACCTCGACTGGAGGGTCATGGAGATCACAAGAGCAGTTTTTCAAGTGTTCATGACTCAGAGCTGCCTAAACCCTAAACCCTAAACCCTAAACCCTAAACCCCAGATGTTCCCCCCTCCCCCACCCCTGCCACCCCCTGTTACTTTTCCTCCCCTTTTTCTCAGTTTGTCTCAGTTTTCCAGGTTGGCACCCTGACTGCACCATACCTGGGAGACATGGTTGGAGATGGACAGGCCATTCCAGCACTTGGCGTGTTGCCAACTTGTTTTTGTTCAATCTTTAGAGGCTGAATCTGAAAGACAGTGCTGAAATGGCCAGCCTTATGGCTTTGTATGGCTTTGTACGTCGACCTCCTAGTCATATTTACGAGTTTGAGAAAGGGAGAACGAAGAGGACTGTTTAGCGGTAGGGTAGCACTCGTTCCCACTATCCACGACTGCTGTGTCTGTTTCCTGTTGCTTGTCAGGGCCGACCACGGGCCGACCCCACTTATGACTTCATGGTTGATTACGGGTTCAGTGTTTCGGAATGTCTCGTACCCGAACATTTAACATATGGTTATGACTCATGACGCCGGAGCTATTTGCGATGTTAAGTTGGCCGCGGAAGGATGAAGATACGGGGAACTGATTGTGGAAGAATGCAACAGCTCCTGGGACCCGAAGGCTGTGTTGGAGGTGGTGTTCAAGGAGCCAACAGCTGCCAGAGCCCAAATTTGCAGCGTTCCTTGTGCCACGTCCGCCGGGAAAACGAGAACGCAAAAGACTCGAAGGATGATGGTGTGCATTATTATTCTTACTACTATTATTATTATTATGATTATGATTATTATTATTTGTATTCTTGATGGTACTAACATTGCTAATATTATGAATATTCTTCATACTATGAATATTGTTCAGTTGCTGCAATAGGAGCATCTGCGACGTGCAGGTGCAGATGGTCAACCTTCGAATGGGCGGGTCGGGCTGTCGAGTTAAACTTGCGCTCAGAGTGCCGATGCCTGTGTGTCGCCGCTTTGCAAGTAAAACGCGCTACTCCAAAGCGCTGCTCCGCCACAGTGCATGTCAGTGCATGTGCTACTCAAGAAGACAATTGACAAGGGCTTTGCAGACGCCTGAAAAGAGCATGCTCAAGTGGATGAAGCGGCGTAAGTCCTCCCGAACGATCGAAGATAGCTGAGTTCTGAGAAGTCGATTGTAGAGTTCAGAGGTCATAGAGAACCATATAGATACTGTTGGCCGCTATAGTTTCGTGGACGGGACCGGCGGCCATGCAAATGTAGCGATGAGTTCGCGACCTTTGCCAAGCAAATGGCTGGACTCTGTCGACGAACCGCCACGAAAAGGTGGCTCGATTCCACATGGGTACTTCCCAAAACATGGGTACCCCTTTAAAACCCCAAATAGAATAGAATCCCCTTAAAGGGAGCCCCAAAGAGGGCCACTATTTTCGGAAACCTGCACTGGAATCCTCTGAACACTTCCTGTGGGAGTTGAAGAGACTTGTGAGAGACCGCAAGACAGACAAACATCCTGCCAAGCAATCTTTGCGCGTGAGGCTGTGTGGTGGAACTCCAGAACCTGTCTCGGACCGAACTCAATGGCCAGCGCGGCGTCTGCCTGGGCCCGTTCTCAGGATGCAGCCCAGACATGCCCAGACCCAGGTGACATGTCAGCGGCAGCCAATTGCAGATCCGAGCAGTTCACCTGAGATTCGTTCCCAGGCCTTCCTCCGAAGCTTCTGACCGCCTCGGTGTCCGCCTGGATGATGGCAGGGAGATCAGTGTCCCCCAGGCGAAAGCCCGGGGGATCATCGCCTTCTGTGAGGCCCAGTGCCACAGATGCTTTCAGGGTACTTGCAAGCGGCCCGAAGAGTCATTCAGCATGCGTCTCCATGCAGTGAGACACGAGAAGGTTAGGGATAACAGCCATCACATGTATAACTCATGTATATATATATATATATACATGTATGTACAGATAGATATACCATGTATAACATATATATATATATATGATTTTATATGTATGTATATAAATCATAAAAAAATATACTTATATATATATATATATATACACATACACACACACACACAATCGCAACATGTGCAAGCACCCGCACTGTTGCGATCTCACGCAGTAGGAACTTCGCTGGCCAGGTCGCTGGCAAAGGCATTGGTGTCATTGCACTGTCCTCCATTCCAGCAGGCGGCGCTTTTGCCTCTCCTCACAACCTGACCTTTCTTAGAACCCTAAACCCTAAACCTTAAACCCTAAACTCTAAACCCTGAACCCTACACCCTTGCAGCCTGATTCCGAAGCTTTACTTTGAAGACGGGAGCGCAGGGAGGCAAGAACCTCTCAAAGCCCTAAATGGCCCTAGATGCCCTAGATGGCAGCGTCGCCGCTCTCTTTTCGCGCCCCCAATTCTTACTACTCACGCTGCTGCTCAGAACCTCTCAGAGAAAAGCCTCAAAAAATAGCCGTCGTGCAAGTTGGTTGCGTCTCGGTTCCCTGGCCACAGTGGGAGACGAAGATCCTTCCCAAACTGCTCGATGTAAGCACGCAAATTACCAGCCCCGTGTCTCAACAGCCCGGCTTACTGGGCCGAGGCGCGGAACGGAACGCCAACAGCCTTCCCTGAAATCTCTTCAGGAGGCCTCCTCCTCCGTGAGCGCCCGGCCCTGTGCCTCGGGACTCAACCACCGCGGCCGCCGCCAGCCTTGCGGAAGGTGGGGTTTGCAAAGTTGCGAGAAGTTCAAGGTTGGGTCGGTTCCGTTAGGTGTACAGATGCCTAGGAGTTCTATAGCCGCTGTTGGGTAGCCGAGGTGATGTCCGTGGTAGCAGGCTATAGGGTAATTAACGGGGGGTTATTGAGGCAATGGGGACGAATAGGGGGGTAATGGGGGTAGCATGGGGTAATTTTAACGCTACGCGACCCGCCTCGGCCCGGCCCAGCGCATCCGCAGCGCCCAAGTCGCTGGACCCAAGCAATAAGGGTTGGGTTTAGGGTTTAGGGGCCTCGAAAGCGGGGGGCGAAATAGGGGGGGGGGGGGGGGGGGGGGGGGGGGGGGGGGGGGGGGGGGGGGGGGGGGGGGGGGTGGGGGGGGGGGGGGGGGGGGGGAGGGGGGTGGGCTGCTGGGAGGGGCTTCAACTGCCTCTGGTCCTGGCGAACCGTCCGCTTGCGGACCCCGGTTTCCCAGGGGGGGTACCCATTTGAGGCAAAAAAAAAAAGGGGTCCGAAAAGTGGCTTTGGGTTTGGAGGGGGGTGCCTGTTCTGACAACCTATACACCTCCGGCCCGAGGCCTCGGCGGATTTGCGGCCGTGCTCACACCAGTTGAGCCTCCGGCCCTCAAGCCAGCGCGTCGGAGCAGGAAAACTCCGTTTTTCACAATATTATGTGAGCAAGCGCCAAAACCCCCAGCCATACAATTAAGCAAGGGGTGGACACGAATGCCTAAAACCCTGTAAAACGATGGGAACACTTGAAAAGCGACACCCCTAGGTTATGAACCATTGGGTGTGCTATAGCGACACCTACAAACATCAAGCCCCTCTTGTTGCGTCCATTAGCACCTCGAGCCCAGCCGCTCATGTGGCTTTTGGGGGAGGGAGAAAAAGGGGGGTAGGGGGGGGGGTTGGGGGGGGGGTTGGGGGGGGGTGGGGGGGGGGGTGGGGGGTGGGTGAAAAAGGGGGGGGCCCTGCTGGGAAGGGCTGCAACTGCCTCTGGTCCTGGCGAACCATCCGCTTGCGGACCCTGCTCACCTAGGGGGGGTACCCATTTGAGGCAAGAAAAGGGGTCCGAAAGGGTTTGGGGGGGGAGGTTGGAGGGGGGTGCCTGTTCTGACTACCTATACACCTTCGGCCCGAGGCCTCGGCGGATAGGGGGTAATAGGGTGGGGGGAGGGGTTCACGGGGGCCCACAAGATGTTTCTGAAGATTTCAGAGCATTCGCTTGCCGGAAGCTGTGCGCGGATTCTGCACGAGGTCAGTGCAGAACTTCAGAACGGCCAAAATGACCAAAGAACTCCAAATACAGAGAGTTTAGGTAAGATCAATGTGATTAGGGAAGGCCAGCTCGTATGGAAACAGCCGCAAGTGTTGCAACAGCTAAAGAGAATGGACCCTAACTCATCCTAGCTAGACTCAAGCGAAACGAAAACGGAAGTATGAACCGAAGCATGCCGGAAGCGATAGCCTCTCTGCCAGGCCATCCTCGAGCTTTGTGCCTTTGCAGCAGACTTCCAAAACATGTTCTCATGTTTGGGACTGCGTTTATATGTCAAAATAGGTGGCTCCTGTCTCTTCTCTTGAGAGATGTCTGAGGCGATGCCTATGCAGCTCCCTGGCCAAAGTTACATCTCAGCTGTAGGTTCTGGCGCTGTGAGCTGGTATCATCCTTTTTCTGGCCAGAAGCACAGATGAATGCGCGCATTCAGACTTTGGGCCTATCATTAAAGTTCAGCATTGTCTTGACGATATGCTTGCCAGGATCGACCGGAGGCAAAGACACTCGACGGCATCATCGCGACCAATGCTCTGCCACGTGGCACCACTCCCGAGCAGACGGTGTCTGGACTGCAAATGCGGAGTTGAGTTCCAGGTTCATCCCCTGGTGGTGCTCCTGATAATTCCCTAGGAAAGGACTTTCGTCCGGCGTAGTGCCTGAGGGTCACCCTATTGCAACTAGAAGCCCTCATCCACCCGCTACGCTGTTTATGGCCCCGTCGTCCCGTCGAAAGTTATGCGACATGCGACGAACACAAGGGTAAGAGGATGCACTAATGACTCGCCTTTTGAGTCCCAGACCCACTTGGTGCTTCGATTTGATCTGGGGCACGAGCGACTCACGCTGATCCCCCCCGCAAGGCCTCGACCCACTACGATCGGAATTTCCTTAATCTGCTGTGTCTGCCGACTACTGCTCCAGCAGCCGTACGTGTTGTGTACCTTGTGTGCCTCTTTCGGCCGGGCAGCACGTTGGAGGTGGTGGGTGCGAGCATGTTGGCCTCGTGCAGCTTTCGCCTTTGACCTTGCCGGCGATTCGCCCAGCTTGGACACGGCCATATGCCTTTACCTGCTGGGTAACCTGGGTAAGGATGCTGGGGAACAGGCGGGCGGCTTATGCGTACATCCAGGAGAAAGTGAGGGAGAGGATCGGCAAGCTCCCCCCACGTACTGTGCAGGTGCAAACGGACAAAGTAATTAAGGCAAGCCCCAAGTGAACAGAAGGAGGAGCCAACCTCGTACCCACCCCACGCACACCCGTGCCAACTCGTCCACCGCATTCGGGCAGCCTTGGGCGGCATAGAGCTGCGCACCTACACACCTACCTGGAGCTGCTAGCCGCTAGCTGCCAGCACACGGAAGCAGGGGGAGAAGCAGGGGGAGAAGCAGGGACAGCCCTCGACCCCCAACTGGACGACAGCGACCCCGACGCACCCGACAAAATTGGGTGGGGAGGGGCTGTTCTGTGGTAGGTTTTGGCTACGTTTTGGGGCGGACCTGCTAGGAATATCAGTGTCTTGTAAAGTAGTAAAAAAGGACGTGTTGGAAGCTGTCTTGTGTGGGGGCCCCGTAAGAAAACATGTGCGTCGGCTTAATCAGGACCCCAACGACTGTTCGGGGGCGCAGAGGCTCCCCTCTAAAGACTAAGACGCGTTGTCCGGGCCGAGAGTCTACTTTAAGGGTTCGTCGGTGATCTTTAGTTTCTTAAAATCCTTGCGGAACAAGTGAACCCTCCCAGCAAAACCCTAGAGTAGAGGTGTTGGATTCGCCGTCTTGGTGCCTAGTAGCAAAACATGTACGAAAAACAGAGAAGGTATCAAGAAGAAGCTCCACCCATTACCTCGCCCAGGTCCTTTGCCTGCTTGCGTGCAGATTCAACCACAGTTGCGCTCCCAATGCAGAGTTCCTGTGGATTGAGGAGTGTCAGGTTGAGGAGGCCGACCCGGTCTCA